CTATGTTCCACATTTGTGAAACTCCCACCTCAGCAGAAGGGTAGGGCGGGATTGTATTCAACAGGTGCCTTCACTGACTGAAAACTTCTCTTAACTTTTTTTCGGAGGCATGTTTCAAGAAGCATTTATTAGGAACCTACTACAAGGCAGGCACTGGGATAAGTATGGGAGATGCAACTTCGCAAAAAGAAAACAGTCCCTGACCCTGAGGAGATTATATGATCTACTGGTGGGAAAACACATACACAGAAAAACAAATATAAACTATATAAAAAGTAAATAAAAAGTAATTTGGGTAGTGGAGAGAGGTCTAACAACTAGAGGGAGGAACAGGGAATGTGAGCTAAGCCTTAAAGTGGGGTAGGGATTCCAAGGGGCACAAGCAAGGAGAAAGAGCATTCCATAGGTGGGGGGAGGGAGGAACAGCTTGTCCAAAGGTATATATGGAATATTGTCACCTTATTAATTTCTTCTTTCCAAAATTTTTTTCAATGTACCATATTGAGAATTATTCTCTACAATGGGAGTGCTTCTTCAGTTTTATCATGGAAATATCATTGGGAAGGTCGTATTTGGTTTACAGAAATGTTGTGTGGCAGACTTTGCTAGAATCTGTCTAGCTCTTAAATCAGAGATGCCTGTTTTGCTACTCATTTTTGCTAACATTTGCCTATATAGAGAATATGTTTGAATAAGTAGAGATGAATTATTTAATCCATTCTCATATATTTACCTTTAGGATATAGTAACTATATCTTGAATCTGTTTCTATGTAGTTATCAAAATAGGTTCCAATGTTTCCAAAGGGTATTCAGTTCACTCCTGATTTTTCTCTATTCCTTCCTATTATATGAATCATAATTTTAGAATTGAAGAAAATACAGCTGGGAATAAGTGAGAAGCATTGTGGTATAGTGGATAGAGAAATAGCTTGTCTTGGAATCAGGAAGATCTGTGGTCATCCTGTCTATGATAAAAATTGGCTAACCCAGGCAAGTCACAATCTCTCAGTGCTCTAGGCAATTAATACTTCCAGTTAGTCTGCTGAGATGTGCAGGGAAAGGTTAAAAATAAACTCACACACAGACACACAGACACACAGACACACACACACATACCAGGTATGATACATTTTTTCAGTTTCATCTGCATTATTGGAATTTTCTCTATTGTGGACAATCAACAAAATGAACAAGTAAGCCCTGCTTTGTAGCATTAGAAAAAGCAAACCTGTATTTATAGAGTTGTTTCTGAGCTCATCAACATTTTCCCCTTCATTCTTTAAATTGTGCATTATGGAAAGATTTGGTCGGCACTATGGGATACAATTGTATAGAATAAACCATAAACCTTAAAAATGAGGAAGTTAAAATGTGAAACAGTGAGTGCCTCACTTCAAAGCCTTGTGTACCTGGACCACGAATAAGGTCTTTTGCATGCTGCTACAGTAGGGAGATGTTATATTTTATGAGCTGATCAGGCAGAAAACTTTTCATCCAAGAACTTGTTAGCTGCAACCTCTGACAGCAGTTAACATTGCTTCCGCTCTTGTCGTTGTTAATGGTGTTTTTTTTTTTAAGTTGGCTCCCTTTGCTCTATCCCTTACACCAGTAAGACAAACGTACCAATGCAAACTGTTTCTTTCTCTATTTTGTTCTCACTCAGGAGCCCCAAACTACCGTAATCCACAACCCTGATGGAAACAAGGTATTCAGAAAGAATCAACTCCATCTTGCTTTTTTTTTTCCACAAGATGCTTTTACATTTCACAGAAGAGTCAAACAAAATGAGTTCATTGTGGAGAATTAGGCAAACACATCTTCATCATATCTTTCTCTTTTAATTTTTTTTGAAACCCAAGAACCTAGTAGGTCTAATTTGTTTAAGGAACTTACACCCAAAAAAAGCCTTGAAAGAAAAATGGTATACTTAAATCCCTCGTTATTCCTGGTCTTTCTGAAGATGATTGTGTGTCTGAAGCCCTTCTGTCTGCTCTTCTTTCGCTCTGCATGTTCATGCAGCAGACTGTGGTTATGTTTTCTGCATGGAATTCTAGATATTGTTGCTACATCATATAGCTTTCCTTAAGACTTTACCACTCGGGTTGGCAGGGAGTTGTCTTGGTTTGGCATAGCTTTTGAGTTTGGATCAGTTCTGTTGTCAAGGTGTTTCGTTTTTAATTTCTACGTATTTGTTTTTCTGCATGACTTTGAGCAGAACGTGGGAGGCTTCTCTCCCATATATTGTGTTCCTTGTCTTCTCATGTGCAAGTCCTGAAAAGAAATGTCATTGCTCAGACTGAGGAACTAAAGGCCAAGAAGACGATGGTTATATCTGCTCTAAAATAATAAATCATGTGGTTGCTCAGCATGTTGGGGGGGACAAATAACTTACACTTGCATAAGTATCTAAAGGATGAAAGGAAAAAATTTCTGAATTCATTACATGTCTCTGATTCATCTGTTATATAGCTTATTTCATCTCTAGAGGAAAACAGATTTTTACCATCTTTCTTTGTCAAATTCTATATTCAATCATAGGCCATATTTCTCTCAAGGTAATGTTCAAGACCTAGGTTACAATTTCCCTGTGGCATAACCTTAACTTACCAAACTAAAAATCCACAAAACAGAAGAAGGGGAGGGATAAAGTATTGGTGTTTGTGGCACTAACATTTTAGATTTATTGCATTGCCATGGAATTTAGATATAGAATTTCTTCAGACTCTCCGATTTCTCCTTTGACTTCTTCAGGAAGTCAAAACGATCACATGAAAAAAAACAAAATTAAAACAACCGAAAAACAAACAAAAAGAAACCCAAAGTTATCATTAAAGGTCGTCATCTGCAAAAAATGAAAGACCAAGCATAGCAACCAGCATGGATGCTTCAATAGCACTAGCTACATTCCTTGTGAGAGCTGTTGCATGGTGTTCTCTCTTCCTCCATCCTTGACTTTAGTTTTACAGCGCATGGTATGGCTGTGACATTTACCTGCATCATGGATTGGAATCGAACACCATGTCACCCTCCAAAAAGCATGGGGATGGTTTTCTGTATATAGTGCCTTTTATATGCTTGATTTATGCTTGTACTTTCCATGTAAATAGTGTATTCAGTGGTTTTGACCATTTTCACTTTTTTTATATAGTTTCAGAAAAGGACACTGACCAGAGTTGTAATTATTTTCTAATCACTTTAAAAAATGTTTTTACTTCACTGAATGTGTGATCTCTAATTGAAAGCCTGAGCCTATTTTTTTTTCCTCAGAAGTCATTTACAGTTTAATAAGTTAAGGATGCAATTTTTTTTTTCTAATGACATGTTAATAACAAACATGGCATACTTTTGTGGACTTTTTTTTCCTCTCCCCCTCAAAAAAAGAAAACAAAATAAAAAAGATTACAGGATCATTTGGGACTGAAAAGTATTATCATATTATCAAACAATTTTAGAAATAGTCACATCTTTCAACGTTGGCAGTGTCCTTTTATGTGTCTTACTAATCTTTCACTTCATATAGTGTTTCATTGATACACATGTATGTAGCCTTGCCTTTTCATTATGGGAGAAGGGGTCTTACCAATATGAACTGTTTTCTGATTTAGAAAAAAAAATATGACAAATACATCTAGCAGTCAGTGAAAGTGTATTTGTCAGAGCTCCGTAGTTTTTATCTCAAGGCAATTTCTTTCAAAATCGGTTTCAATATATATCTGATTCTATTATCCTATCTCTTCATCAAATTGTTGAATGGAATTTCTTCCCAAATGCACCATTCTACTCACAAGAAGAAGTTATATATGCTGAAAGGTGGTGTGGTGTCATTGATAAACAGTTGGCCTCGGAGTTAGGGAAACTTAGATTGAGGTCCCTCTTCTAACACATACTGGCTTTGTGTCCCTGGGCAATTCACTCAGCTTCTCAGCATCTTAAACAACTCCATGAAACTAAAAGTTACATATTGGTTTTATTTATCAGTGGATGCAGTTTGCATGTGTAAAATCATATGAACAGAATGTCAGATAGTAGATAGGTTGTTAACAGTAATAGCTAGGTAACATTTTTATAGTGGTGTAAGGCTTTTTTATAAGATATAAAAAATATCTTACTTTATCCTCACAATAACCCTGGCAACTAGGTTCTATTATTATCCTCATTTTGCAATTGAAGAAACTGAGGTTTGAGAGGGTAAGGGACTTGCTTATTATTAGCATTACAGAGTTAGTAAGTGTCAGAGGCTGGATTTGAACCTAGCTGTTCTATCCCTTGAGCCATCTAACATTCAAACCCAGAAAGAACATTAAAAAAAGTTGGCTCCAACCCCCTTCTCCCCTCCCTATTTTACAGGTATGGGAACTGAGTGACTTGCCCAGGGTCACACAGCTAGTATGTATCTGAGGCAAGATTCAGACTCAACTCTTGCTGACTTCAGGTTCCCCACAAAAATGAAACCACAGGTGCAGACCTAAGAGAAGAAAAGAAAAAAGAAAAACAATGTCACTATGTATAGAGCTTAGCACAGTAGTTTAAATTGATTAAGTATTCAACAAAAAGTAGCAAATTTGTTGAAAAATAATGAAATTTCTCATATTCTGAAGTTGATATTTATTAATATGAAATGGGACTTCTCTACTAAGATTCAGAAGAGCACTTCCTTTGTAAAAAAAAAAAAGTGTAGAATAAACGATTCAAGTTCAGTTGTTCATTTTTTAAATAAAGTGTAGGATCTTTGGACTCTACAAGTCACCCAGCCTATATCCATCCCAAAATTGATCATGTCATCACAGTACTCCCTTTTGAAATGGACAGAGTATCTAGCATTTTGTTCCTGCTAAAACCATCATAGTCTATGTGCCCATTTGCATGTGAACACATTCACATACCTGGCTTTGGGATATGCATGTCCTGTGCACCACAAGCTGTGTTACTTGCTTAAATGTGTGAGAATACCGATGTGAGGCTACCATATGCATCTTAATTATGTCTGCTTCTTAACAGGAGTCCACTGAGAGTTCCAATACAACCATTGAGGACGAAGATGTGAAAGGTATGATTATACTCTAAACATCTGGAAAACTGAGGCACATGTAGATTGATATTAATGGACAAATAAAGGAGTGGATTATTTTTTGAGACAAGAATATTGTTGTCTTTCTAAATGGTATTATAATAATAATATCCAAAGTACGCTTATTGTTTTTTATTTAAAGGATTTTTATTTTACTTAAAGTTTTTTAATTTATTTTTCTTTTTTTATTTAAATTTTTTTTAATTTAAAGTATGCTTATGATTGTCTTAGATTTGATGGATACTTAATCTTATAATGTAATTTTAAAGCCTCAGACTTCACTTTTGTTTATTCAAGTGACATTGCATCAATGTATAATTATATCAGGTAGCAGATTTCATTTAAAACTGTAGGTGGATAAGTGGAATATCAGAAGAAAAGTATGGCATAATGGCAGAGAGAGAGTCATCTTTGAAATCAGGAAAACTCCATGGAGTTTATGTCTCACTTTGAAACCAGATGGCTTAGGTGACCATGGGCAGTTATGTAGCCTTTCAGTCCTCCAGACAACTCCCTAAGACTAGAAGGTGCAGATGATGAGCAGCTGATCCATATCAGTGAAGACAGTTTTCATATTGATGAAATCACTGATTAGGAGCAGGAAAAAATAATATTATAAAACCCACTTGAAAAACCAACTTTGAAAATGACAAACTACATTGTTAGAGAGCCAGGCTCTTCTGATACACTATTGTCTCCAGGGTGATATTTATAACTCTCCTTTTGCTATTTCATTATCAGGTGCTTTTGTGTATTATTACATTTCTTCATGATTTTTAAAATTCTCTTTAGTGTTTTTTTCTGGTGTTGGATATGAGAAATTTTCAAAATCCTGCCGTATTTACTGTTATTTCCTAAGGAGCTCTGCACATATGTAGTACACATTCTGATATAAGTGAATTTGCTTGTTTAAATTTTTATTTTTTGCCACCAGTTGTTTTGATTATATTATTTTGTTTCAGTTCTTCATAGTATTATTTTCCTTAATGTAGCGTATTAGTTTATAGCAGCTCTTTTATTCTATTCACAATGCCTTTGTAGTCCAATTGAATCACTTGGCAGGCACATATCAAAGGAAGTTGAACATTAGTTTGTTTGTTTTTTAATAGTTTCTTAATTCCTGAAACAATATCATTACAGTGTTTGTTTTTAAATAACTATGTAGCCATTACTGGTATTATTTTTTTGGTTGCCCCAAATAAAAAGATCTTCCTGGAAAATTTCATATCTAATACAAACTAAAGAACCAGGACATTTTCAATGACTATGTAGTCATGGACATTTGGGAAAGCAAAAAAGGCTTATAGTCAACAAGTTTTCTGCATCACTTTCAGTTGAATGGAGCAATTAGAAAAAGTTGGTAGAACAGATACCTTACTGTATTTATTACACTGAATCACTCATCTGTCTTTACCCATAATGTGGGCAAGTCAATACATTTACAGAAGCTACAGAGGAGTAATTTCTTTAATCAGTCTACTCATCAGTGCTTAGTCTTATGTGCTCCAGTGAAGAGCAACTCAGTGCAATGCTGATACCAGGCTTGTTAGACAAGATGTGTTTAGCAAATGAAGAGTATATTTGAGGCAGCTAGATGGTACAATGGATGGAGTGCTGGTCCTAGAGTCAGGAAGACTTGAGTTCAAATCCAATCCCAGACATTTACTAGCCATGTGACCCCGACTAAGCCACTTAACCTCTACCTTCCTCAGTTTCCTCAACTGTAAAATAAAAATAATAACAGCATCTACTTGGCAGGGTTATTGTGAGGATCAAATGAGAAAATATTTGTAAAGCCCTTAGCATAATGCCTGGCACGTGGGAGCTATGTAAATGCTTATTCTCTTCCCTATCCTTTTTTTTTAACTCCTTCGGCGTTTCAGAAAATAGCATAACAGCAACAAGAATAATAATTACTAACATTTATATATTGCTTTTAAGGTTTGCATAGCATTTTACATATATTATCTCATTTGATCATTTCTTATTGGCCCAATCACCCAGCAATATTTGTGGATTTTCTTTGTTTGTTTGTTTAATTTACATATTTGTTTCAAGTCCTCATTTGCATCATTCTCTAGAAGGCTTGGAATTTTATAGATAACTTCAACATGAAACTAAGAGAAAGAATATTTCCTATATCTTATCCACAGTTATCTTCTCTTAGAAATATGCTTAATGAAGATGGAAGATAATCCTTTCTTAACATAGTAGAAAATGAAATGAAATGTGATAGGCCACCCCTACAAGGAAGGGAACAGTGATCTTCCTTCATTCCCCTTCTCTTTCCTCTCTTTCTCCCCTTTCTCCTTGAGTCTCCCTAAGGGGATAAAACAACTGGTCAGAAAGTGACTATAACGGACCCTTTACTGGTACTGGGTCCAGCTGGTACTGATTAGCAATTCTATTGCCCATGAGTAGTTCTGTGTCATAGTTCCAGGGTGGAGAGGAGTGCTGGTGGTTGGTCACAAAGGAGCAGGAGCTCTGGTCACAGTTCCAAAACAAGGAGGAGCACCAGTACATGTAACTACAGGGGAGCAGGGGCTCTTCCTGTGTAAAGACACAGATCAGAAAAGCAGTGACCACACTCTCCCCACATCATACCATCTTAGAAGCACCAAAAACCTGCAGACCACCAGAACTGGTTCTGGAAACAGCAGCATGAAAAAACCTGAAGCTTGTCCCAGTGCCTCTTTACTCCCAGGTGAGTAGAGCCCAATTTTAATATAAAGTTTAAAGTCAAGAAATTTGCTGGAAAATGAGCAAACAAAAAAATAATTTGACCCTAAAAAGCTACTACAGTGGTCCAGAAGACCAAGACATAAACTTAGAAGAAGACAACAGTGTAAAAGCAACTACAAACAAAGCCTCAAAGAAAAATGCTAATTGGACTCAAAACCCACAAGAATTCCTTAACAAGAGTTAAAGAAAGAGATGAGTGGTAGAGAAAAAGAATGGGAAAAGAAATGAGAGGGATGCAAGCAAATTAACAACTTGGTAAAAGAGGCACAAAACAGTTCTGAACAAAATAATGACTGAAGAAACAAAATTGGCTTAATAGTAAAAGAGGCACAAAATTTTATTGAAGAAAATAACTGCTTAAAAAGCAGAATGGGTCAAATGAGAAAAGAGGTACAAAAATTCACTGAAGAACTTCTTAAAAATAGAATACTCCAAATTCTAAAAGACGTACAAAAATCTTACTTAAGAAAATAATTCCTTAAAAAATTAGTATTGGGCAAATGGAAGCAAATGACTCCATGAGACATTGAGAAACAATAAAACAAAGTCAAAAGAATAAAAAAATAAAAGAAAACATGAAATATCTCATCAGAAAAACAATTGACCTGGAAAATAGATCTAGGAGAGATAATTTAAGAATTATTGGACTACCTAAAAGCCATAATCACAGAAAGAGCCTAGACATCATATTTCAAGAAATTATAAAGCAAAACTACACTGATATCCTAGATTCAAAGAGTAAAATAGAAATTAAAAGAATCCAGTGGTCACCTCCTGAATGAAATCCCCAAATGAAAACTACCAGAAATATTATACCCCAATTCCAGAGTTCCCAGGTCAAAGAGAAAATACCTCAAGCTTCCAGAAAGAAAACAGTTGAAGTATTGTGGAGCCGTAGTCAAGATCACACAAGATTTAGGGCTTTCCATATTAAAGGAGTGGAAACCTTAGACTATGATACTCCAGAAGGCAAAGGAGCTAGGATTATAACCAAGAATAATTTACCCAGGAAAACCAAATATAATCCTTCAGGGGAAAAAATAGGTAATTAATGAAATAGAAGACTTTGAAACATTCCTGATGAAAAGACCAGAACTGAAAAGAAAATTTGACATCCAAACAGAAGACTCAAGAGAAGCATAAAAAGATAAACGTGAAAGAGTAATTATAAGAGACTCAACAAATTAAACTGTTTACATTCCTGTATGGGAAGATGATATCTGTAACTCCTAAGAACTTTATCATTATTAGGGCAATTAAAAGGAGTTTATATAAGTAGAGGGCATTTCAATTAGGTTGAACGACCTCCAAAAAAAAAAAAGAGAAGAAAAATGAAGGGATGAAAAAGAGGCAAGAGAAATGCACAGTGAGAAGGGAGAAGGGAGAGGTAAAATGGGGAAAATTTTCTCACATAAAAGAAGGACACAAGGAAGAGCTTTCACAATGGAGCGGAAAATGGGGGGGGGGGGCAATACCTGAACTTCACTTCCATCAGAATTGATTTGAAGAGGAAGAACACACACACATACACACACACGCACACATAGACACACAGTTGGGTATAGAAATGCAATTTACCCAATAGGGAAATAGGAGTAGAAGGGGATAAGAGATGGGGGAGAGGGTGATAAAAGGGAGAACAGATTAAAGGAGGCAGTGATTAGAAGCAAAAAAAAAAAGACTTTTGAGGAGGTTGACGATAAAGAGAAGGAGGAGGAGGAGGAGGAGGAGGAGGAGGAGAAGAAGAAGAAGAAGAAGAAGAAGAAGAAGAAGAAGAAGAAGAAGAAGAAACTGAATAAAATGAGATGGAAGGAAAAACACAGTAATCATAACTGTGAATATGAATGGGATGAATTCACCCATAAAATGGAAGAAGATAACAGAACAGGTTGGAAACCAGAATCTAATAATATGTTGTTTACAAGAGACACGCTTGAAACAAAAAGGTACACACAGATTTAAAATCGGGGGCAGGAGTAGAATCTAATATGCTTTAGCCAAACTAGAAGAAGGCAGAAGAAGCAATAATAATCTGAGACAGATCAAAAGCAAAAATAGACCTAATTAAAAGGGATAATCAGGGAAACAACATTTTGCTAAAAGGTGCCATAGACAATGAAGTAAGATAAAAAAATTTGTAGTAAGTTTCTTTGATAAATGCCTCATTTCTCAAATATATACTAAGTATAGAACTGAGTCAAACTTAGAAAAATAAAAGCCATTCTTCATTTGATAAA